GCATGCCAGTCTTGGGGGGAGTCGTGGGATGCATCCTATGCAGGGCAATGCAGGGCAAACCGCGCGTGCCCAGCACGCGGCAGGCAGCAGAGCGCGCTGGGGCCAGGGCATCCTGGAGCAGTCACAGGCACACCAGGGGGAGCGCTGAGCTGACGGAGTCGTGGCACCAGCCGCAGAGCGAGCGGACAGAGGGTACGTGGGGGCACGCAGGCACCGAGGCTGCAGCTGCCAGCCAGGGCCACCCCAATGCAGAGGTGCGGGCACAGGGCAGGGCATCCTGGAGCAGTCACAGGCACACCAGGGGGAGCGCTGAGCTGACGGAGTCGTGGCACCAGCCGCAGAGCGAGCGGACAGAGGGTACGTGGGGGCACGCAGGCACCGAGGCTGCAGCTGCCAGCCAGGGCCACCCCAATGCAGAGGTGCGGGCACACATACCAGGGTGCAGGTACCAGACCGGGATGCAGGACCCTAGTGCTAGGATGCAGATACCATATCAGGATGCAGGTTCCCACACTGGGATGCAGATAGCATGCTGAGATGCGGGTAGCCAACACCAGGATGCAGGTACTGTACCAGGATTGAGGTACTGTATGGAGATGCAGGTACCATACAGAAAGGCAGGTGCTGTACAGGGATGCAGGTACCGTACAGGGATGCAAGCACTCAATGCCAGGATGCAGGTACTGTACCAGGCTGCAGGTACCATTCAAGGATGCAGGTGCCGTACAGGGATGGAGGTACAGTGCAGGGATGCAGGTGCTGTACAGGGATGCAAGTACTCAATGCCAGGATGCAGGTACCATACAGGGATGCAGGTACCATATAGGGATGCAGGTACCGTACAGGGATGCAGGTGCCGTACAGGGATGCAAGTACTCAATGCCAGGATGCAGGTACCGTACAGGGATGCAGGTACCATACAGGGATGCAGGTACCATACAAGGATGCAGGTGCCGTACAGGGATGCAAGTACTCAATGCCAGGATGCAGGTACCATACAGGGATGCAGGTACCATATAGGGATGCAGGTACCGTACAGGGATGCAGGTACCATACAGGGATGCAGGTGCCGTACAGGGATGCAGGTACCATACAAGGATGCAGGTACAGTATAGGGATGCAGGTACCATTTAGGGATGCAGGTACCATACAGGGATGCAGGTGCTGTACAGGGATGCAGGTACAGTGCAGGGATGCAGGTACAGTATAGGGATGCAGGTACCGTACAGGGATGCAGGTACCCAGCGCCGGTGGCAGGTACTGTGGGGAGATGGAGGCACCATATGGCGGTGCAGGTACGGGA